CCGATAAAGAAAACCCCTCACAAAAAAAAAAAAAAAAAACCCTCTCCCAAAAGAAAACCCAGTTTGTCTGGTTGTAAAATTAACTGTACGGTTTGTGACCTAGACTGGCATGGGATTGATTTTCATCCTGGGATAGTGGAATGATATAACTACACCTTTTTTAATTACTGTAAGCATTTATGAATTTATTTTTTCATTTGATGTAGGGTGTGTGTGCTCACCAGAGAGAAATGGAGGGGGGGGGGGAGTGAGAAAGGATGCCCTGGGGCTGGCCCTGCTGCAGTCTCTTCTCCATTCTCTTGGGATTTTGGGCATGCATGTGCATGCACCTGGCATGATTTTCAAGCCATCAGGTCTGGGACTTGAACCATAGTTGGCCATGTGGGAGTCTAGCACCTTAACCAGTACACCACTTCTGGCCCCATTGTCAGAAGGTGCCTGTACTTGTCAGAGAAAGCACCCCCAAGTGGGGGCATGGCATAGTCATGCTGCAATCCTTTTTCTTCCATGTGTTTGTCAGATCAGGGTCCTGCCCTCATCCGCCCCCCCCAAACATACATACACACTTGCCTGGAGTGTTTTTCAACCTACCTGGAACAAGTTTTGAACTGCAGTTGGCCATGTGGGATCCAGCTCCTTATGCATAGCATTTAACTGCTGTGCTACAGGGCCTTCCCCCCCTTTTTTTTGAGTGTATATCTTAAAATTTTTTCATGCTTGCTTTAGGTGCATGCACTAGCCAGAGGGGGGGTGGTGAGAAAGTGAGAAATCGCCCCTGAGGAACATGCACTGCACCGCATTCTCTCCTCCATTCTCCTCTTGGGATTCTGGGCATGCATACACACCTGTTTTTCAAGCTGCCGGGTCAGCCCGAATCGCTTAGTTGGTCACGTGGCATCCAGCCTCCTTAACCTCTGTGCCACCTGCTGGTCCCCAATTTTTTTTTTCTTTTCTTTTTAGATGACAAAACCCATAAATCTCCAAATATAAAGTTATAGAAGTAAATTCCTTGGGCATAATTTTAGGAATGCTAAAGATAGATTTTAGCACTTTATCAAAACAGATCAGACTAATGCATAGTTTCCTACGGTTAATGAAGTTAAGAAATGCTGAACTTTATAAATGGACGCGTTTCTGTGTTGTGTCATGAATGTCTCTTGCAGAGTAGCAGCACAGAGCTGACACGCCTGGCGGCCGTTTCCTGCTAGGTCCAGGCCCATGGTTGGACTTGCCTTGCGTGTGAGGTGGGAGTGAGCCGAGTGTGGGCCGGAGCGTGGCTTTGCTTTCAGCCCACGCTGTGTCCTCGCTCACTGTCCCTCACAGCCTGTCCTGGTCCCTGCTGAGAATGACCACCACACGTTTGTTTCATTTTGGTATTATATTGTGAACGTTAAATCACATTAATCGTTTTATTCTACACATGGTCCTTTCAGAGTAAGAGTCAAAGTTAATGTCTAAATTTTATACACAGTCTGTTAAACTTCATCCTGAATAAAATGGCCTTAGTTCTGGTGAGATGCGTTTGAGATATAAGAAAATACTTCAAACTTTGTTCAGAGTATCTGGGAAACACTGCAGTTAAAAGCGTACCGTCCATTGAAAACACTACGTGTTTAGGGGTTAGAGGGACACTTTGACACACAGGCCATCTCCACAGGAACCTCGGCTTCTGACTTTGTAACAGACACTTGGTCATGTCCCTTTCGTTGGCATTCCTAGTTAGCGTCTGGTTCTAGGGTGGCCGTGAAAACTCCTGGTCACGAGCAGCTTAGCTGGATGGGTAGTAGTAGGGGAGGTCCCAGATCCTGTGTGAGAGTGTGGGGAGCCTGTTCCTGGTGTTCTTGTCCACATAACTGGAAATCGTGGGTATCTCATCTTTGTGGGGGCCCGCTGAGCTTTCACCTGCGGTGGCGGAAGTCACAGGACAGTCCGTGCTCCGAGAGTCCTCCAGGTCCTCCTGCTCGCCGCCTTCCTCGGTACGACTCAGGAAGTCTTTGAGAACTTGCTTGAAGATGTAGACGATTTCCCATGGTAACACATCGTTTTCTGCCAGGACTTCTCGAAATCTAGATGGAATGAGGCAGAGAAGAATCAGTTTACAGGGTTTCTTTTGTCCTATCCTTTGGTCTCTATCGTGCAGTGTAATGATGTACTCATCTACTAACTACCCACCTCCGAGTGATCTGTACATGGCTTTAAAATTATGCTTCGAGGGAAGGAATTTTGAATGTAATTTAAAATGCTTTCCTACCAGTAAGATATCAACAGATTGATTCTTTCTTTCTTTCTTTCTTTCTTTCTTTCTTTCTTTCTTTCTTTCTTTCTTTCTTTCTTTCTTTCTTTCTTTTTTCTTTTTTTTTTTTTTTGCCCAGCCTATTCCTAGAGATTCTGGGAGCTGGACATTCGATATATGTGATTAAAGCCCTCACATGGTGGGATGCAGTTTCCAGCCCACTCTCCAAGGAACTTAGACTGGGCAGCAGCGGGAATCACAAGAGGACAGTTTTTACCTGCTGAGAATAGTTCCCGTGTGGCAAGGTTGAACTTGGGAGCAGAGAACTTCAAGTTGTCTTTGTTCAGTAGCGGGGATGGTCGTGTGGGGATTCTGGTAGTTCCTCAGCCAGGTGTAGTCCGCACCTGTCTTCTTCACTTTTTGTTCATTTTCAATCTCCTCTGCTAACCTCTCCCTCTCCTGGAGGTGCCACTTCAGTTCCCGAAGCAGTGTCTTTGTGGCCACGTCTGAGCCCGGGTAGTGTGGGGATTTGTAGGAATCAGTTTTTAGCCATTTCATCCAGCCAAAAAGTGGCATTTTTAGCCTATAGAAATATTCTCATTTGTTTATTTGCATAAAATGTTATGGTCCTGATGATCAAATATTTGTTCCTTCACAGTAAATTTGCCAGAAAAGTGCATGAATTTTCCAATGGTTAGATATGCCAGTCCAAACAAGATTAGTACATGGATTAAAGTCTTTTAGTTTCTAACTAGGTCAGTGTCAAAAACCAAGCTTTGAAAATACTTTATGTAGTGAAGCAGAAATTAAATGTACAAAGTCAGACATGATCTACAGACAGAGCAATTTCTGAAAATAAAACTAATACTTGCTAATTGAAGTTCTTAGGAGGTTTTAAAATATTAACGTATGGAAAAGTGTTTTCTCTAAACACACTTTTGATTTATGCTTGGAACAGAAAAAGCTTAAAGCTTACCTGTTAAGTTGATGGGTCTGCTAGTGATGGTGTTGCCAGAGACGTTTCCCCCGAATGGGTGACGAAGCTGTGTCTCACTGGGGCATTCTCGTTCCCCTGGATGTGTCCTCTGTTGAGGGAGTGAGCCTCCTTACTTACCCCCCAGAAACTATGTTTGAAATAAGTAACTCTCCACGCTAGCAATGTCTTCCTTTGGAGAGCATGCTCGTTAATTCACCTTGTAAGTATCTAGAGGAGATGACAAAAATAACTTACTATTCCATCTTCACAGATTATATAATGGTCCACCTTTTGAATGTAGTTCAGTCTCTTTGAAAGCGATGCCGGCAGCTATGGGTGCTGGTCGTAAATGCATCCCGACATGTCTTTGGTAATGAGCTGAACTGTCTTCTGGAGCACACAGGCGCGCTCCTCGCTCAAGTGAAGGCTGTCGCATGATGTGGTGCTTTGCTGTGCGTAGCTGCAGGTCACAGTTTAGTGCTGTATTTTTATGCCTGTAGAGCTCTAAAAATAACCATGTTGCTTTTATTCTTCAGCTTAACTTTCAGGCCATTTAGAAGCCAGGTCACTGTCCCCTCTAATGAAAACAGGAAAAATAGATCGGATTTGACTACTTGCAAAATAATACATTCTGAGAAAGGAATTGAGCAACATAGGCAAAGCATGCTGATAGCGGTCATGTGTGAAGCATTTAACAAATGTTACAATCTGTATTTTGGTTTCTTTCTTGCAAAATACTAGTTAGAATTTCATAATCAAGCACGTATGAGTATGAAATTCTCTAACAAATGTTAGAGGAGAACGTTTTGGACACTCAAATGGATAACTTTAAAATATACTTTATAGTCTCTTTGAAAACTCAGTGATAATACAGTAGTAGGTTATTAGAAAATAGAGCCTTAATATGTAAAGTTGAAAACAAAATCTTACAATTCATCATAGATTATAAATCATTGTAGTATTTTCTTTTGGAGCTGCAGATGAAACACTTATACTTCCTATTTAGGCGAGTACTGGTGTGTAATGGTCTTTTTTGGATAGGTTTTTTGTTTTTTTTTTTTTCAAGTATTTGTCCCCTGAAGAGCCGACAGCATAAAAGGTCTTCCACTTTTTAGTTCTCTCTTAAAGGACTACAGTAGTGACTTTCCCTTTTGTAATATGTCTCTTCTGCTGCCTTTTTCTTCAAATGAGCTGTGGAAACTAGACAAGGTTTCCGTCGGGCCTGCATGTCAGGCACAATCAGAGTGATGAGTGGGTCATCCTGCGGCTCCTGTTAGGGACATGGTAGACAGCGCCAGACGTCAGGCCTCGTTATCTTCAGTTGGAGGTTTTCAGTTACATGGCGTACAGCGCTGCGAGGAGGAGGGATGGGAGGTTTAGCGTGACAGCAGTGTCCCACCACGCTTTACACTAACGTTACAATGAGTCTTGCCACTTTTTCTTCTGAATAACCTTATTGCTGCTAAACATTCCCCCCCTGAAATGGTAACAGAAACACCTGCCTATATTGGGTATGAATCGTAAGCCAGGTTTCAGTTCAAGCTTCTCTGGGGATTTGCATTATCCCTTCTTATCTACTATTTTCCCTGCCTTATCCCAGGATGTATCTGTCTGACCCAGGCCAGCTGCCCCTGACTCTTGCCATGTTTACTTCTGACCCTTGAGCTCTGCTTAAACGGGTCCTATCTTCCAAAATGCTTAGTCTTTTTCTTTTCTTCCTTTCTTCCTTTTTAAATTTTTGCCAGGGGGTGTCTGAACTCATCAGAGAGAGAGAGAGAGACAGAGACAGGAAAACCAAGCCATCACCCCCTGGGGGCATGGCCACACCATAATCCCTTTTCCTCCATTCTCCTCTGGGGATTCTGGGCATGGATGCACATGTGCCTGCTATGATTTTCAGGTTGCCAGGTCTGGGACTCGAACCACAGAGTTGGCTATGTGGGATCCAGTGCCTTAACCACCACACCAGCTGCTGGCCCAGTCATTCTCTTTTCTGTATGTCCATGTTATAATTTTCTTTTTGGGATAAATTCAAGTACCACCTCATTTTCTTAAACATTCTTTTGGCCCTACTTTTCCTTTGAATTCTGGTTTTATCTTTTTTTTTTTTTTTTTTTTTTTTTTTTTTTTTTTTTTTTTGGGGGGTTTTTTTTTTTTTTTTTTTTTTAGTATTTTGTTGTAGGGTACATGTGTTTGCCAGAGAGAGGGGGGGGGAAGAGAGAGAGCATGAAAATGAGACTCCCCTCCCCAATTGGGGATGGCCATGTCATAGTCTCTTCTTTATTCTCCTCTGGGGATTTGGGGCATGCATGCACACGTGCCCAGCATGGTTTTCAAGCCACCTGGTCCAGCACTCCAACTGTGGTCAGCCATGTGAGAGTCTAGTGCCTTAGCCATCACGCTACCTGCTGGCCCTGGACTTTACTTAGCTTTTCTGTTAAACTTTTACAAAGGCTGGTCCTTGTTTTTGCTCCCTCTTCTTACCCACATTTTCTAATGCGTTCCCATTAGATTCTGACCTGTCCTCTCATTGCTGGCTTTCAGGTCACTCAGCAGATACTTATTCATTATCTACCGTGGCAGATGGTGAGGAGTGATGGGCAGCACTGAGCTAGACAGACTGGGCTCCTGTCCTCTTGGAACTGGCTGCTTACTGGCAAGGCACTTACGGGTCAGTGTGAGCTGACGCACCTGAACTGCATCCCCACTTAGATCTCGAGGTCAGGGAAGGCCTTTCTAGACAAGGGCCGTCCTTCGGGCAGAGATTTAAAGTTCAGTGAACTAGACACACAAGGAGCTTCTTGAAGGCGGTCTCCCTTCTTCACTTGACTTGGGAGACAAACCTGTCTTGCTGTTGATATTTTTCTAAATCTGACCTCCACAGAACTCCTCCTACTGCCTGAGATAATACTGAGTATGCCTTCCTCGAATTTACTGTGGAAACCCACTTTTCCGGTACTTAGTGTATGCTACTTGTGCTATTACAAACTTTATTTCTGTCCTGTCTCTTGAAATTGTTAGACTGAGATAGAGACCAAAAGTCATTCTCTGATTACAGCAGCCACCAGACTACCATATAGATAGAGAACATAAGTATTTGTAAATCAAGATCAAGTAGTACCTTTTAAATTAACCTTTCCTGTTTATAAGGGTATAACTTGATCAGCATTGGCTTTTATTCATCAAACATTTTAGTAAATTTAATAAATGAATTCTTTCTAATGAATTGGAGGCTTACTAGAATATTTTGTGTAGAAGACAAAGGTTACACTATTATATTAAATAATTAGGCCATTTTCTTTTTGGTCATCATCATTTATAAAACATTTATTTAGGGACCAGTAGTTGGTGTAATGGCTACGTCGCTGGACTCCCATGTAGTCGGCCATGGTTTGAGTCCCGAGCCCGGTGGTCTAAACTTATGCTGGGCGCTTATGCGTATGTGCCCAGGATCCTGAGAGGAGAATGGAGGAGAAGGGATTGTGGCGTGGCCATCCCCCGAGGGGTGATTTCTCGCTTTCTGTCTCTCTGTCACTGTCTGTCTTTCTGGCGAGCGTACACACTCTATAGCAAAAACCTCTCCAAAAAAAAAAAGGCAAAAAAAAAAGGAAAACATTTATTTAAATGATTCATTATTATTATTATTTTAAAAATACACTAGAGAGAGGTAGAGTGAGATAGAGAGGGAAGATGAGAAAGCAAGTTGCTAGATCTGGGGCCAGACCACCATTGGCCATGTGGGAGTCCAGCGCCCTAAGTACCATGCCATTTGCTGACCCCATGTCATTTTTTTTTTACTAGGCTGCTTACATCTCGTTAGCTTTTATTTTCAAAAAGAATTATTTTATTTAAATTTATTTATTTTAATTTGACTCGGGGTAGTGGGGAGAGCGTGAGAAAGTAAGTGAGATAGCAAGTTGCCAGGTCTGGGACTGTAACCACGGTTGGCCATGTGGGAGTCCAGTGCCCTTAATCACCATGCCACCTGCTGGCCCCCATCTTGTTAGTCTTAACAGTATAAAATTTTGTAAGACTCAAAGTGAGATAGGATTGTGTCATTCATAATATGTGTATTTATGTAAAATTATAAGATGTAAGGAAGTACGTGAAAAAGGTAAGTCTGAAAAGACAACAGTAAAGAACCTTAAAAGGAGTGCTAAGGAGCCAGGCACAATTTTCTGTGTACTGTTGCTATAAAGTCAGGGCCACCTTGTATAGTATAGTCATGTTTCACTTAGAGCTGGGATAAGTTCTAAGAAATGCATTGCTAGATGATATTGTCACCATGTGAACCACATAGAATGTTCTACACAGACCTGGGCAGTATAGCCCACTACATACCTCAGCAGTGTAATATAGCCAGTTATGATCTCCTGGGACCACCGTCATATATGCAGTCTGCTATTGACTAAAATGGTGACATGTGGCACTTGACTGTACTCAACCAAGTTTGATTGCAGCGAAAGGTTTTCATTGTGGGAGATTAACATCCTTCTGTTTTTAATTTCTCTGTTGCTGAATTTAAACTTCTGGATTACTGGGCTAGCAGGTGGTGAGGTTAAGGTGCTGGATCCCACATGGCCAACTTTGTAGTTCAAGTCTTGGATGCAGTGGCTTGAAAATTATGCGGGGTATGTATATGTGCGTGCCCAAAATTCCAAGAGGAGACCGAAGGAATAGGGATTGTGGTATGGCCATTCCTCCTGGAGGGTTGAGTGATTTCTTACTTTCCTTCTCTCTGTATCTCTCTCTGGCGAGCCCTATAGCCAAAAACAAAACAAAAGAAAAGAAAAAACCTGGATTATTGATTCTCTTTTTAAGTTAAAAATCACATCTATGAAGTTATTAATATAAAAATACTGAACTAATTAGGAATAAAAGGAATCTAGAAATGTAATAAAAGCCATATATGAAAAGCCCACAACTAATGGCATTCTTGGTGGTAAAAAACTGGAAGTTTTTCCTTTAAGATCAGGAATAAGGCAAGGATGACCACTTTCTTCATTTCTGTTGACATAATACTAGATGTTCTAGCCAAAGCAATTAGACAAGAAAAAGTATCTAAATTGGAAAGTAAGATGTAAAATTATCTCTGTTCTGGGACCAGCAGTTGGCATAATGGCTATGTCACTGGACTCCCATGTAGTCAACCGTGGTTTGAGTCCTGGACCTGATGGCTTATACTCTGGGTGCATGTGCGTGCATGCCTAAGATCCCAAGAGGAGAATAGAAGAGAAGGGATTGTGGTATGGCCCTCCCCCCTGGGGGGTGATTTCTTGCTTTCTGTCTCTCTGTCTTTCTGGTGAGCGCATGCGCCCTATAGCAAAAACCTCTCCTGTGTATATATATATATAGATTTAAATTAAAAAAACTCTATTTATAAATATGATATATATAGAAAATCCTAAAGATTCCCCCAAAACAGAATGCAAAGCCAACACTCAAAAATCAGTGACATTTCTATAGGCTAACAGTGAATAACTTGAAGAGGAAATTACAAAGAAATTACTCCTTTTTTGTTTTGTTTTGTTTTGTTTTTAGAAAAAAAATAACTCCTCCCACCCT